GCAGCCATTATCCAGCGTGGGCAATTCATTTTCCTGCGTATGGTTTTAATATGGAAAATTGGTCGTTTTGCTGCAAAAAGGAAGAAAGAGAGAAAGAAGTCTCGTTTTTCTTTCAACTTTCCTATTTCTGGGTAAAGGAGTTGCAAATATAATGTATTTGTGCATGAGTACGATGAGTTTACATCCCGCTCTAAAGCATGCTCGTTCTTGTGTGAGCTACAGGTGAAGTACCTGCTGCGCCTCACGCAACATTACGCACAAGAATCCCACAGGTGGGGGGGGGGCGAAATAAAATGGTAAAGCACACAAACAGAGCGCGAAATTATAGCATGATTATCATCATGAGTATGAGTCGATTCTGGACACCTACTGTGGGCTTTTGGCGTAGAAAGGTAGGGTGACATGGCTGAGATCCTGGATGTCGAAGGCGGTGGGTTCGGCCGAGATCGCCTGCCTCTTGGTCCGCTGCTGCTCCTGCAGGTCGGTCTGCTTGTGGACCTGCTGCGTCGCCGGCTTGATGATGGAGCGGTATTTGTCCAATTCGTTCTGCAATTTCTGTATGAGCTCGTCCTTCTGGTCGAGCTCCAGCTCCAGCTCGTCGATGAGCGCGTCCCTCTGACGCAGCTCCTCGATCTTCTCCTGGAGCGCGTACTGGAGGTCGCGCAGTGTGCCCATTTCGTTGCGACTTTCCTACAAGTTTGTACAAACGGTGTTCAGCCGAGTCTTCGTCCTCTCTCCTCTGCCAAGCGGCGCGCAAACTTTATCCGGCATGAACGGACTGGGAGGATGCGGCTCCAGTCTCCACTGAGAGGGGGGAGGATTCCTCGGTCCCAGGCATGTAAAGGTTACCGGCGTAGTTGGGGCTTTCCCTCTTCTGCCATAAAATTTATAAATCGCAATTGCGCAAATAAGTTTCCTCCTCTGTCTCTCTCTCTCTCTCTCTCTCTCTCGTTCTCTCTCTCCTTCTCCCTCCCTCGGCGATGTGACATTTGAGGACCGTCCTCCCAGAGTGCGTCAAGCTGCGACCCGGAGAGAGCGCATGGCGAGAAGGGCGCCTACAGGAATCTGTGGCACGGTGCAGTTTGATACACCAGAGAGAGCGAGCGGCGCTTTGTCTCACATGAATAATGAAGTCAGCGGGAAAAAGCCACAATTCGGTCATCATACCTCGGCAACTCGCCCCGAGGCCGCCGAGTTACAAATAGACGAGTCTTAATGGAAGCTGGAGGTGATGGAAAACTTAATGAGCCACTGTGCAGAAATGAGCGGCTGCTTCTGCCTGTTGTGTTTGTTTGCTTGAATATGTCTAAACATCCAACTGGTCCACAATACAAGTGACGAATAATAAAGCATGCAAATAATGTTCTTTTTTGAAGTTGTTGTTTTGTTTTGTTTTTGTTTTTGTTTTTTGTTAACAGGTGCTTCAGGTAGCCACCCTGCAAATATTATGTTGTGACAACTGGAGCAAGTAGAAGGTGCTGGGAGCAAGAGGAAAGGCGCATCCTCCGCACACCTCATCCAATCTAATGTGGCGCACGCACTGCGAACGCTGCTGGTGTCTCTGTCCACATGTTCCCAATGAGTCATCTGGAGCTCTGCGAAAGGATTCCGGCCCCGCGTGAGCTGGACAAATTCGGAGAGAGAATAAACTGCCAAAGACAATCTGACTGAATTGGGGGTGGAGGATTTACTCGGGGTAAAAACAGCAATTACTGCTGGGAGGTGAGAGCTGACAGGTATGGAGCTGAGGAAACAGGCTGAGGGGAAAGGAGATTTCCCTGCCTGAGTGGGAGCCGCCTGTGTGAGTAAGGCATATTTTTCCTGACATGTTGCATGTAAACAATTCAGAGCGGAGACAAAAAGCAGAAAAAATAATAATAAAAGGTCGCCGGTGCCCTCTTGTGGTGGTTTAAAGAAGTGACAAAGAAAAACCATTTCAGTCTCATTGGCGGAAAATTAAATGAAATAATGCAAACTTTAGATGAAATTAAATAACAAAAAATAAATTGAAAACTGATTTTGAAATGTAAAAAAAAAAATTATTATGAATGCCACAATCACTCTGAATGTGGACTTCATTTAGTATTTGTAGAATAAAGATGCCATCTTGTTATAATCAGGGGAAACATGAAAACAAGATATATCTCTAATTTGATATTACAGTGTAAAAGAACTATGGACACAATTCCAGCCTCATTCAATCACAGCATAACTTGGGATTTTAGAATAGGCTTCAAAAATATTGACTTCCTCTGGTATTAATGGGGAAACTGTATGAATGAGAGAAAGCAAGAAAAATGTTGTATCTGTATCCTGGTGGTAGGACACGTTCATATAAATAATTTAAAGTAAGATTGTACTAACTACAAAACAATTTAAAAAATATTAAGAATATGACTAAGCCAGATGATAGCATATGCTGCTTGTGAAGTGTTGACTCAGGACATCTAGCAGTTGCACTTAAACATGTCAGCCTAATAAGGAGACATTGTTCAAAAGAAGGGAATTCCTTAAAAGAAATGCGTAATTCTTGAGAAAAGGATGTCGATATCAAACTAAAAAGTGTTCCAAAGCTGTTGCAAGACATCAGTTTAATTGAAAGCCTTTTGTAGGAGCATCTGTGAGGAACATCTGTTCAACTCGCTGCGCACCAGCCTGTGTTGTTAAATCGTTAGTCTGGACGTGTTCTCCCAAAGCTTTGCTTCTTTGTACGTGTCCACAAATAGAACAGGTCAGTGTTTTAATTAATCCAACAGTCCCTTGACTTTATGTTACTTCAAATCCATTTACATCCCAGCCAGTTGAAGTAGGCACAAAGCTTCAGAAGCAGCAAAGTTGACTTCATATGTCAGGAAGTGTGCAGCTGCATTCAAGCCCTCTAAGCACCATTTAGCATCCCCTGCATCCAATCCTACATCAGAAGGCCCTCCTACTGTCCTTCAAAGCTCCTCTGCGCTTTAAATTTCACCTCTCCAGCCACCCAGCTCAGCCCTTTTCCTATACAGATCAATAGAAATAGGATCTGTATCTCCATGCTGCTGAAACCCGAGAAAGCGTGCAGGGGCGGTCCGTCGGCTCCACGGTGCCACGTCCTGACTCCTAATGGGGGAGAATGAGGGAGGAGGTCACACACCGTCTCTGACCCCTTACAGACGCAGCAGGAGTGATTGTCTTTGCATACATGCAGGATGTTCATTACACACAATTAACCTGTTTGTTCACTGGAAAGCCATCAGAGCATTGCCTGTGACTCATCAGTTCAGGCTAAAGAAAGAGTCCCAACAGATCTGACAGACAGACAGACAGACAGACAGACAGACAGACAGACAGACAGACAGACAGACAGACAGACAGACAGACAGACAGACAGACAGACAGTTAGATAGATAGATAGATAGATAGATAGATAGATAGATAGATAGATAGATAGATAGATAGATAGATAGATAGATAGATAGATAGATAGATAGATAGATAGATAGATAGATAGATAGATAGATAGATAGATAGATAGATAGATAGATAGATAGATAGATAGATAGATAGATAGATAGATAGATAGATAGATAGATAGATAGATAGATAGATAGATAGATAGATAGATAGATAGATAGACAGATATATAGATAGATAGATAGATAGATAGATAGATAATAGATAGATAGATAGATAGATAGATAGATTTTAATGAGCTTCCTATCTCCTAATGAGCACAGTATGGACTTTCCCTGCATCCTCTTTATTGATGCAAATCAAGTTTGGAAATTGTCTAGCCGCTTCAATCAAATTAGCCTCAATGTCTGTGGCACGGTGTCAAGAAAGCCATGCTTCTTCTGAGTGTGCAGTACGTGTGAGACAGACCTCAAAACGACAAGTCAGTTGTGATGTTCATTGATTTATAAGACAAAGTCTGCAGAACTTTTCTTCCTGTGATCACAGCTGAGAGACAGGGTGAATGAAGGTGATGTAAGCCGCAAAAACGGCGATGACCTCAGGCTCACGATACCCCTCAAAATAAGACCATGTGAACCTAAAACGAGCGCCTGAAGGTGATGAAGTAAGCATATGGTCAAACAAAGCGCTTTCTAATGGAGTATTAAATATCCTCAGACATGCACTTTGGGTCCTCAGCGTTCAGCTACTAAAAGCCAATAATGCACAGCACTTCCTCCAGTCTGTGTCCTTTGGGACCTGAGTGATGGGTCTGATCAATTAGGAAGCTCTTTCAGAAGCTGCGTCATTCACCCTAAGAATGAAAGTGCTCCTCCATTCATGACAAAGCTCCAAAGCTCTAATTTTTCATAAATAAGGCTTAGAAAAGTTTTATTGTTATGATTTTAGGTGGGATCTGAACTCCAAACTGACTTGTGTGTAAACATGTTTGATCGATTTTCACACTGAACCACTGTTAAAAGCTTTTATATTGATTTAAACCTTTAATGGAAAATATCAGATTTTGCCAATGAGTGGGGATGGAAAAAAAAAACTCAAATATAAAAGATGTAGCACGCATGAAGCACATGTGACGCAGGGTAGTGTCTCTTACCAGTCAGTTTTTGGATATTTCCGAAACGTCTGCCTGGACAGGTCCTGGTGCGTCTGGGGCTCCGCGGAGATGCCCTGCGCCCTGCGGGTCCGGGGACCGATAAGTTGCGCGCTCGGCAGGACGGACTGGCATTTGTGCAGTTTCCTCTTCAGCTCATGGATCTCGTCCTCTCGGTCCGCCAGCCGCCGCTCCAGGTCCCGTATCCTCTCCTCCTTCAGCAGCAGGATCTTGGCAAAGTCGTCCTCCAGCTCGCTCATGCTGAAATCCGCGTTGAACTTCTCCAAGACAGCGAAACTCCCAGGGAACTCGGACAGATCGGCACCAATCCTCCGCAGCCGCTCTCTGATCTCCGATCCGGTGATAGGATGCTCCGACAGTCCCCTTCTACTGGCAGCTTGTTTGTAACACAGGAGAAGAGCAAAGCGGGCGTTTAAAGCCGAGGAGCGGCCGATTCATGGAGACTGTCCGCCAAGTCTCCAGGGAGCTGGTGCTGCTGCAGATGCTGGTGAGCCTTCATTGAGAAAGCAATTACAGCAGATCTCCTTCAGCAGGTCGTCGAACTTGGTACTGAAGAGCCGAGACAACTCCTGTAGTTCACCAACACACCACGCAGGAAGCAGCCCGAACCACAGACGCATCCGCCGTCTCTACTCCTGCTGCTGCCGCCGAACCGTGCAGTGTTCGTTTACCATGTATGTGCGCATACCTTTTGGGCTACAGTGGCGCCCACATCACCTCCCTGACCCTCCCGATTGAAAAAAAAAAACCCCAACTAAGATCAATCACCAAACATAAAACTGTGTTTAAGCCAATTTGTAAACAGAAATCAGTGAAGCGAAAACACTCATTTCTCTACACAGTAAAAAATGCTGGGTTATTTTCATAACCCAACTTCTGGGTAAGAGATGCTGGGTCATATGTTGGGTTACTTTGACCCAATATTGGTTCAAAAGTAGTGACCCAGCGGTTGGGTTGACTTTTTTTTTTGTTTTAATGAACTCCACTTAACTGATTCTGTTAGGTTTCAGGTTCGGTTGACTCAACACTTTACCCAATTGGTTGGGTCAAATACAGTTCATATAAAAATCCATTGCCCTCTTCACAAACCTCCATTTTCAACTGGACTGTGACCTGATCAGACAACACTGGACTTCTCAATTCAAATAAAACATGGTAAGTTACAATATCATGGTATAATATTTTTAAAGTTAATAGGGTTATTGTATTCTTTATATACTACAGATCTTTTAAATTAAATTTATGTAACTTTAATTGAATTATTTGATTTAACCTATCATCTTCGTTGATAGGGTAATGTTTTTGAAATAATTAATTTAATTCAAAGATAATTTATCCAATTTGTTTTAAAAAACAGGGTGAGGGTGTGGGAGGGAGAGATGGCGCTTTGCCCCCTGGTTTTCGCTGGCCTCGTTCACTAGCGCGCGCAAAAGGTGGTAGCAGCTAGAATGCTAATAACGGATCTATAGCGACAAGGAGGGACTGGAGGCTTGCAGTAGCGGTGTCCGAAGCGATCAGTACAGAGTACAGGTATTCATAGTAATATATCAGTAATATAACTGTTAAATGCCATTTTCATTAAGCCTTTTATTTCTTACTGAACACACTATGCTATGCTATGCTATTATACGGTTAACCTGGGTGAAACCGATTGAGGCAGTGGAGAAGAAAAAAACAGTATGCACCAGCAATGGCAGAGGAGGGGAAGCTAAAGTTGGATATTATGCTTTCTGTCAACTAAAGTAACTTTTACAGATTTCTAGTGAAGATTTAACTATGTAACAATAAAATATCTGCTCGATTTATTGAAATATCTCTTAATTTAAAAGTGCTCCAACATGTTTGGAGTCGTCCCCACCGGTGTTCTGTCAGATCAGCACACTCTGCGATGGCATATGCTTAACACAAACTATTTATCTGTAGAACATCCGTTAGATCCTCAGTGCCTCCTCTGAAGGTAGACCTGTGGTTATCAGTCTAGATGGAAATCAGCATATGTCCATTCGTGAAAGACGAAGTGTTCTGACCACACAAGTGGTCAGAACACTTGTGTCACACCTGATGGATCAATATGGAGAAAAGTGAGTATTTCTTCTAAAACTAGATCAATTAGGTTGTTTTTGTGACATTTTGCTCTTGGTGAGAACATTAACGGCATTGTGCAGTGCTCACCTAAGTAAAATTTCTCCAGTAAGAAGTCTTAAAGTATGTGTTGGGCTAATAAAAACTGGATTTTTTGGAAATTGTTTGTGTTTTAAGGTTTCTGCTCTATGTTTTCATCTTACAATAACTAATTAAAATAAAATATTTTACTTGCCTGTCTTACTGAATGTAATTTTTTTTGTTTCCAGCCCATCTTCAGACACTAAAGCAATTCTGGCATCTTCGATTGTGGACCAGTTTCCATGTTTAAGAGACAGCCATGGCACAGGATATGTAAGTTTTCACACTTCAGAGAACTAGCACACAAGTACTTCAACAACTTGCACAATGGTTAGCATTAAATATCATTGTAACTATGGTGTTTGATCTTTGAGTTGTAGGTTTAATAAAAATTTGGACATTAAAACAGAAAGGCTAACATTTAACTTTTATATTTCTTTTGTTAAAAATGTTCAGGACGCCTGGTTTACCCCCGGAAGACAACACAGGCCAGCAACTGGCTTTCTGGAGGAGCGTCTCCGTAATGTAAGGAAAAGGCATCAACCAAGGAAGAAGATGCTTTCAGCCCCAGAAGCTCCACCAAAAAGATTAAGTTTGCCTGGTACTAGCACATGGACTTTTTCCAAGCCCCTATTGTTTTGAGCAGCAATCTAAGCTCTTATCATTGCTGTGAATTACCTCACATTTTTTTTCTTTTAATTTCTGTAATACTTTTTTCCCCACAGAACCAACCATCAGTGCTGAGTGTGCCATCCAGATGACAGAATGGCTGAAAAATAACTTTTGGCCCACAGACCAGGTTGTCCAATACATGCGGGAAACTGCAGTATATCGCGCAGGATGGATCCGCTCAAGTGGGACAATCCCAATGCAGCAGATTTTTGCAGAGTTCCCACGTATGTTGGACACACCAGGAATGGTGAGGTTATACCTCATATTGAGATCAGTTAAATGTTAAACAATAAACTGCAATATCATGTGTAAATGTACAATTACAATCAAACTCAAAATGTCAAACTACCCAGAACATAAATTTGTAGCACCCATGAAAGGTTGAATGTAATAGTTCATTTCACTTTTACATTTGATTTGTATTTTTGTCTTTTCTGATTGTTAGATTTTGCAGGACTTTGCCGTTTTATATCCACAGTCTTGTGGAAAACTGACAGAGAACTGGAACACCTTGTTCTCATCAAAGGTCATTCGCATGGGGAAGAAGGAGGAGAGCGGTCTTCTGCCTGAGATTGAGTTGCTTCCACAAGGTATTGAAGCTCAAAGGAACATTTTCTGAACTAATTTTTTCTCCTGTGGCTCTTTTTTGATTGTGTAGCATTTTAATCTGAGTTTTTCGTTGACAGACAAACAAGGTGACGTGGCACTCCAGCTGCTGCCAAAACTCCTCCCTGCTGTTCCCTACAGAGTTGGGCGAAAGGTGGTCAGACCCAGCAACCTTGAAGTCCAGCAAGCCTTCATTGATGTCCAGCCAGTAAGTCTATCTTCATGTCAGAACGAATTCTTTGCTGTTTAAATGTAGTTGAAACCAGAAGTTTAAAACAAATATGCTTTTTTTTCCCTCACTGTTCTCCCTGTCATTAATCTTGAATTTACCATGTCCTAATTGACGTGAAATGAGAATTTTAATGTCATATAACACAAGACAGCGTTGACCAAAAATATGTCTTTTTATATAGTATATATAAACTTCAAACGCAAGGGTCTTTTGATAATGTATCAAACAAAAATCATATAAGAATTAGTCAAAAATGATTAGTTCCTCCTTACCTTTTAAATGACTAATGGCTTCCTTTCTGCTTTTTCCACACACCAGATTGGGACAAATATGGTGGAATATCTTGGAAGTACGGCAACAGAGCATCCACGTGTTCTCATGCTTGGGGACAGGTATTGTTGTTCCCAAGCATTTGTCGTCATAAATGGAACTGCTTTGGAATATCCATCTCTTTTGGGGGCTGTTGACGGCTGTTTCAAATCGTTCTTCGTTTTTGATATGAGTTATCCGAAGTCGTGTGTCCAGATTTGGGATTTTCTCCAAACTGTGATATATGAAATCCCAGGAAACGAGTCACCCCGATAAAATTAATGAGGGCCCAGTTGGAGGCCATGGAAGAATAAAAGCAATTCTTCAATAACCCTTAAATAAGTTTTAAATGTTCTGATTGAAAACCTGCTGGATGTTTTGTTACTATGTTGCTATTTTTTTTCACATTTCCTTCAAACTCTTTTGATGAAAATATTTCTTTGTGTACACCAATAAAGTTAAAAAATTTCATGTATGTTGGAATGTATAACATTTGCAAATAAAAGTTCTTTTGAGCTAATCTGAATGTTTTTAGTTCAATTTTTATAGTGAATTTTAAAATAGAAAGGAAAAAAAAATTTAAAATAAAAATATGGTGGTAAAATGACCCTTTTAATGGGTAATAAATTTCAACCCAATATTGAGTCATTTTAACTTTGAGCAGTGGTCAATTTAACCCAAGCTTTAGGTTGCAGCTATGACCCAATGTGCTGGGTCAAACCCTCAACCCAACCCAGTTGAGTTAAAGCAACCCAGCGTTGGGTCGGTCCATATATGACCCAGCGCTGGGTTACGTATTGGGTTATTTTTAACCCAGCAGTTTTTACTGTGTATATGACAAATGTACTTGCAGTTGTTGTTTTTTATCAGTCTATTTAACAATATTTTGCTAAAGGTTTACAAGTTTCAACGTCTCTGAAATTATGGAATAGTTTGTCCACAAAAAGCTCTAAGCTTCAGTAACTGTGACGGTCAAAGATTATATTGGGCTCTAAGCAGAGTTTCATTTTGAGGGATAAATTCAGCTAATCTCATATTAAATCTGGAGGTGGAGAGGGATGAAATGGGATGTCCGCAGCACAAACGTGGGCATTAATGTATAATGCTATGAAACCAGCTAAAGTAAACTTCCCAGATCCAGTTTGAGTCCATAAAATGAAAATTTACATCATCATGAATAGAGAGAGAAAGAAAGAGTAAGGCGAAACCTTTGTGGGTCACCTAGCAAACTGGCACCTTATAGAGAGATTTAAAAGTCATATGCAGTTAGCCCAGTCTATCTGTAATTTAGAACAGTTGGAAAAAAATATTTGGGATATAATCTTTCATTTTAAATGTCCAATTTGTGGCAGCATTCAGCTATAGATGTAATTTCTGCCTTGATTCAGACAAACACTGTTGCTTTAATGTGCACAGAAATGAATCAGCACAATCCTCCAAACAATTTTGACCTCAAAGTAGCTTGGTTTATATTAGGAAATCATGCACTGATTATGCTAGTCTCAGTTTTCTTTACTGGTGAGGGTTTACCTTCACTATAGTGCAAAATCATTCCTCTGAGAAACCATTTATCTCACTTCAACTATAAGCTCTTCTGCAGTTAACTCCTTCAAACTATGCTTGGTCCAGTCATTTGGAGCTAATGCTACACACTAGTAGGTTGGTAATAAAGTCAAAATACTAATATGCAACGGCAGCTGCGGAAAAACTCTTTCCTTCGATTGAATCAGACAGAGAAAAATACTGGAACGGAAGATAGTTATTCAGGTTAAGGACACAAAAATATTGTTTTGAAGGAGGACAGTTTATTTCCGCATGTTGATTGGGGAAAAGACTTTTAGACAAGACACCTTGAATCCATTGTTGCTGTCAAGATCCATTTCTGATGAACCATGTGCTAAAGTAACACATACAGAAGGTATTCATACCCCTTTAAATGTTTCACTTTTGTCCCATTGCAGCAATTTGCTCAAATCCAAAAAGTCCATGTTAGTTCTCATTAATGTACACTCAGGATCCCACCTTGACAGATATAAGCAGAAATGTTTGCAAATTTTTTTAAAAAGCCTGAAACGTCAGTGTTATCGTCAGAGTCTCCGATCACAGGAGACATGTAAACGCAGGGCAGGATTGAAGCAAAAATTATATGATCTCACTTAAAACCAGTCTGATATAATTGTTTCCCTCATGCAAATATTAATGCTTTCATTTAATAGAGCTAAATTTCTTCTCTACATCTGGTTACAGTCATCAACCTTTGCATAGGATCATTCTTGGTGCAGAAGTCATCCATACGCACACAAAAAGTTATTTTAATTAGACAAAACTCTGTTATGTGTTTGAGGCCATCAATTTGACATGGCCTTAGGCAGGTAAGAGATAACTGGACATGTTTGGAAATGCTTTAAGCTTCAAGCATGCAACTTAAAATAACCTCTTCATTTGGCAAAAATAATGAAAAACCCAATTTGTGGTTAGTATATGACTAAAACATTTTCAATTTTCATGGTTTCTAACTCTAAGATATGATGATATTTTGTCTTTAATGTTCTGTTTTGACCTACTTGAAAACAGTAACAGAGTTTGATAAGTTGCTGTAGCCCAGACCCAAGCAATTATAAGAAATTATGAGGATTTCCTCAGTGAGAATAATTTGCCGATGGACCATCTTCCTTTTTCGCCCATCCATAGCCCCCATTTCATTTTCCATATATTGCAAACTTAAACAAGTTTAAAACAAAGCAGATTATCTTACAAAATTTAAAGTATAATGTAAACATCAACAAAACACAAAATTAATGTCACTGCATTTTATTATGTATGACAACAGTTTTGTAACAATAGTGTTTCTCTGACTTCACCCTCTGATCATCATCCTCACGCGCACCGTAATATTAATAACTGAACAGGAGTCTATGCACCATTTTTCATCCCTCCAACTAAATCTGTTGCCAGTGAATGAATTCATTGAGGAAAAGCAGGGAGGGCTCAAGGGTGCGAGACGGATGTTTCATTAAGATTCTGAGTTAAAAATAGAGTGAACAGATCCTCACTTTGCTGGTGGAGTTCAACAGATTTTCACCCTTGTCTACTGCTTTGCATTTTCCCCTGAAAAACGCCTTTTCATGTCACGAGACAAGTGCTTGTTACTGGAATGCATGGAGCAAGGATTTGTTTGCCATCTTCTTTTCCAACATTATATTTGCTGCAAATTTGTAACAACTTCTAAGATCTATGTATTTCTTTTATGATAACCCATACACAAAGGTTGTACATATTTGCAAAGTGGTAGGAAAAGGATTGATGGAAAAGCTCAAGGACAGCGTAAGTGTGAATAAACCTTCACCTCACATGTGAGGTTCCAGATAGCCCACTGAAGTCCTCCTTTTCTAGCTCTTATTCGGATCCTTGTTGAGTTATTATGAGAAGTTGAATACAAACTGTACTGAAAGACAGACTAGCACAAAGGTTGTCCTTAATAAAGAAGAACAGTCATGGATTAATTATGTAAGCAGCTGGCACTGTGTCCATTCTAACTGTGGTAAATTAAGTGTCACCTTTTGTCACCCAGTCCATATCAATGGAAAATATTTCAGTGTCACCCTTTTCAGAAAAAGAAGGGGATTTGTGCATTAGGACAAAATGATGCGGTCCATCATCAATCAGGGTTTTCAATAACATGTCTTTGATCTTACAATATAACATTGACGCCTGAGAGGGCTCGTTATATCGTCACCATGACTATATCAGCATCATCTGCCTGGAGCGTTGCCTCCACACCGGAGTATTTCCATGTTTACACAGAGTGAGTAATGCTGGATTACCAGTTTCTGCATCTGTTGTCTGAGCGCTTTCATGGGTCATCTCCCATGGATTTTGCGGGTCAGGTAATGGACAGCCAGTTGACCTCACTGCACCCGGAGATAGATGCTCTGACTGCATGTGAGGCTGTGGGCGTCACAGAGTTCATGTTGCCGTGGAGAAACGAAGCGTACATGTGGAGAAGCTGCCCTGTGTCCAGGCAGCTTCTCCAAGTGCCTGGATGCAAAGAAAAGAAAAATGCTGTGCCCCCTCAAATGCCTCAGGGGTAGATCATCTTACAAAAGATGGCAGGGCAGACATTAGTCACTGTTTTTCTGTAATACACTCTCTCACACACACACACAGAAGAGGGCGAAGGATAGAAATTTCTTGGGTATACCCAGACATATGCTTGCACATCATTATCACTCACACCCACACTTGCGTACGAAGATTTATGTAGCTAATCACAAAGCAAAATAATCCCTGTAGATACAAACATAATCATGCCAGCAGTCTGGTTTCAAGAAGTTTGGAGGGATTTTTATGGGTGTGGATGTCGAATCAGTGCATCAGCATGCTGTTCAAAGCTTTTAAGATTTTTTTTCCCATGCCCGGCTTGGGGGGCCCTCCATCCCACAAAAGGTGACATCAGGTCTGGGACAAAGGTGATGCGAAGCGACAGATGTGTTTCCCTCGAGCAATTTCTGTCCTTCAGCTTCCTGAATCCCAGCAAGCAACACAGCATATCCTGCACTTTCACATTAATGTCATGTGTTAGCTTTGCATTGTGTACAGTGGATGTGTTCTCACATTGTAACATGAGCTGCTGATTGATTGCTTGGCTCACAGAGGAGATAGATAGAAGTAGAGTTCAGGAAATCGACTTAGCCAATGCAATAATGATACTTCCTTCCTGTCTTCCTGCATTAGAATCATCAAAATCAGATACAGTGCATGAGAAGAAGGTGTATTTCTTGTTTTTGTTCTTTGATTTTCCTTGGCAAGTCTCAGCCTGAATGGTCATTAACAAAGAATGAGCTTGTCAGAAAATCATATCCTGGGCTTAGAAAAATAATGGATCAAAAATAGTGTAAAAAGCTACACAGTGGAACATTTGATAGCACTGTTGCCTTGAAGCAAGGAAATCCCGGGTTCAAGTCCTGGCCTGGGAACTTTCTGAATGGAGTTTGCATGTTTCCCCTAATTTTTGACTTTCACACTACAATTTAGACCTTCAGAACTGTTCTAGATTCATATTAAATAAAGAAGTCCACATGCCACAGGATTCAACTTAGATATTGACTGCTTAGAAACCTTTAAAGGTCTATGCAGAATTAAAAAATCCTTTTGGAAAAACTTCTAATTCCAACTCAAAGTTGCAAAATTGTTTGAAAGAAAGCTATTTGGTATTAAACAACAGATAACAAGGGAATACCTAATAGCTTTCAGAGAACGAAGTTCACCATAATGAG